AGTTTTAGTAGGGTGTAGGGTTCTGATTTCGTGGGCCTGGGTTTCGAAGGTTCAGGGCTTTTGGGGTTTAGGGTCTAGGGTTTTTGGGTTTGGGGTTTGGGGGGTTTAGGGTTTAGGGGTTTTAACGATTTGGGGTGTAGGGTTTAGGGTCAAGGGAACGTTTCAACAAACTCTTTCTCGAGTCCTGTGTGATGGTCTGCTCTCGTTATTGTCTTCCTACATTACCATATTCTTGCACGGGTGTTCCTTCATTTGCCTGCATGCTCTCCGTCCCCTATCATTTAGGGGTTCCTCCGTGTTGCCGTGTAGGTTTGTCTCTCCTGTCCTCTCCTGTCCTGCCTGGTTTCAAATCAAGAAGCTTAGGTAGTTGAACCACCGCATGCATGTACATTGACATATGCATAGAAGCACAAACACGTGTATGGACGGATGGATGGATGGACGGCTGGCTGGCTGGGTGGCTGGATGGCTGGATTTGGACATTTTGTACGTATTTTACAGCTCTGAGCTTCTGTTTGCTCGTTGCTCTTCTGAGTCTCTGGGCGCCCAGACGAACACTAAAGCTTCCTGGTGGGCTCGATTTAGGGCTCAGGGGTTTAGGGCTTAATTTGGAGCTATTCTGAGAGTTTCGGGTTTAGGGGCTTTGGCTCAGGGTTTAGGGTTTAAGTTTAGGGCGATGGCACCACAACAGGCGGCTGCGCAAGCCCCTCCAGAGGCAGCCGCTGCAGTTCGCTGATGTGCTTCTTGGGGGTTGAGGAGTGACAGGTTCGCATAATGTAGGGGCTTGAATAATTACCACTACTATTTTGGGTGTTCGTTATTAACATTATAGTATAATGGGCCCCAAAACCCTGGTCTAATTATTAAGGCCCCTATATGATAGGGAGTTCTCCAAATTCAGGGCCTTGTTTGGATCCACGAAAGTGTGCACCACTCTTGTAGGCGTTGAGGTTCAAGGGAACCCTAAACCCTGAGTGCTTGTGCCGATGAGAAGTAGAGAGCAAGTCTTTCCAAAAAGCCTGCACAATTGTATGGCTCCTGCTCTTCTAAGCTCGGGTTCATAACAAAGACAAGTTAAAATGTGCCCACCAGAGCTCTCTAGCACTTGGAGTTTAGAGGCTTGCCCCTAAACCCTAAACCCTAAACCGTTGATAAGGCTCTTTGTCTTTTGGCATCTACAGTGCACGCTCAATGAGCGAGCTCTTATGACCTCATGCGAGAGAAAGGGCTACTGCATTTAAAAAAAAATCCTAAACCCTAAACCGTGTTCGACATATATCCTCCTCAGCTCTCAGATTGAAGTGCAGGCAGTTGGGCTTTGGGTGCGAATAATCCTAGGCCCTAAACAGCACGCAGCCCTGGTCTCGAAACTCGACGCCCTAAAACCTGACAAGCCCTCTTGAGCATAACCCCGCCCGCGGGGTAAACATTAACAAGCAAATCAACCTTACACCATGAACAACCCTAAACTGCTAAAACCCCTAAAACCCCTAAAAAACTCAAACCCTAAAATCCCTAAACCCTATAAATCCCTCCAAATGGCCCTAAACCCTTAAACCGTATCTTCCAACAAAGCTCTTTATGAAGGTCGAGCAGAGACTTCTCATAAACGATCTTCAGTATGCCGAGCAGCCTTCTCAGCCGTTTAGGAAGACTTTCATTTGGGATGTTTAGGGTTTGGGGTTTAGGGTTTTAGGGTTTAGGGTTTCGGGTTTCGGGTTTAGAACTTTTGTTGTTTTGGGGGAGGAGGCTGTTTCCGTAAAGGTCCATGTGCCCAAACAATATCTGCTTCGGTCTTAAAGTAGTCAGTCCCTAAATGGGTGGTTGTCAAAATTACGGTCCCTTTTTGGGTCCTTATTATAATACGGCACCTATTATTTAGGGGTACCCCAAAAGGGACCATAATTTTGACAACTACCCAAATAGGTACCTCAGAGGACCTACGTGTATACTATTTGGGTACACGGGCGCTTAGGGTGAAGGATTCAGGGAGTCCTGGGGTTGAGTCTTTGGTTGTTTAGGGTTTAGGGTTTAGGGGTTTAGGGTTTAGGGTTTAGGGTTTAGGGTTTAGGGTTTAGGGTTTAGGGGTTTAGGGTTTAGGGTTTAGGGTGTAGGGTTTTTTCTGCACGCCTAAAACAGAGTTGTGTAGTTGGCTTTGTGGTTTGTATCCAAAGTTTTCATGCTTTACGACTTTCAATTCATAGGGAGGGCTTGGGGCGTTAGCTATTCAGGGCCAGCGTTTAGGAGTTTGGACTCTGGGGTTTTGGTATGGGTACCAAAACCATAAACCCTGGGACCCTATTGGTATGGGTACAGGCAACTGGAGAGAGACGGTTTAGGGTTTGGGGTTTAGGGCGTGTTAGGCTTGTCTACTAGGTTACCCTTTTGCCCTTTTGGTTGTATGCTTCCCTTACTTAAGACCAGGCATTAGGAAACATGGTCACTCAGGAACATAGTCTAAAGCTTTATAATAGTAGTAGTACTAGTACTGGTCATGGTAATAGTAATAGTATTCGTACTCGTAATAGTAAGTTTCAGCCCTAAACCCTACCTTAAGGACGAAAAGAACCTTAAACAGTAGGGGCTCTATACCCTTGTACTATGAAACCCTATATGGTATGTGAACCCTAAGCCCTTTTAGGGCTCTTTTCGTCCTTAAGGTAAACCCCTAAACCGTTTACACGTAGAAGCCTCGGGGGCTGATCAATGTGCTTGCGCATCAAGCGTCCAACAGAAAGCACCCCCGGTAGGGTCCCATGTTGCACCTTTGTGCCCCAAAGACCCTTAGGGTTTAGGGTTTGGGGGTTTAGGGTTCAGAGATGTTGAACACTCATCCCTAAACCCTAAACCCCTAAACCCTAAGCCTTAATTACAGGGTAGAATAAGAGCCCCCAGGGAGCTCCATGCACGAAGCACATGCAGTCATGGAGGAGACCTCTTGATTCCCTGATAATGCCAAGCTCCTACGTGATAAAGCTATCAGGAACACTTTTATGGACCCCTTTTCAATGATAGCATAAGATACCTCAAAGCCGGTCCCTACAAGTAGCCCTTAGCTCCCAAGATCTTGAGCCGTTATCAGCTCGAAGGTAGCTTTGAAGCTATTATATTTATAATAAGGAACCCCCAAAATAGTATAAGCCCAGAGACAGGAACAACTACTGGGTCCGGTCTAGATTTCCTTAGGTGGGGTTCTGTCCATGTCATACACCCCTATTCTAAGCCACCAGGCCCAAACAATCCGAAGCCCACAGACTCTACAATCCCTATAATTCTTGTGTCCAATCCCCATTTCGTTGCAACAGCAGTCCCTTAACAAGGACATGTTGAAATTGCATTTTTAGGCCCCTGATATACCTCAGTAATCCCTTGAACTCTCAACGCCCTAACCCCTAAATCCTAAACCCTGAAACCCTCATAGCCCTACAGTAGAAGCAAGTCCTACACCGACACCCTAAACCCTAAACCTTAAACCCTAAATCCAAAACTTTAAGCTCCAAACCCTAAGCCCTAAACCCTAAACCCTAAACCCGAAAATCCTAAAAGCCCAAACCTAAACCCTAAACCCTAAACCTAAACCCTAAACCCTAGATCCTAAAAGCCCAAAGGTGGCAGCTCTTTCAGGCCTCGCGCATGGAGCTCGGCTTCCAGGGAACCTTCTGATGCCTTACCCCCCCCGAAGACAGGGGCCTAAATAAAGGGTTCAGGGTTTTAGGGCTTAGGGTTTAGGGTCTAGGGTTTTCGGGTTTTAGGGTTTAGGGTTTTAGGGTTTTAGGGTTTTAGGGTTTAGGGTTTAGGGTTTAGGGGCCTAAATGAAGGGTTCTTAAAAGGGTCTATAACCCTAAGGGTCCATGTACTCAAATAGTACATACTTTGGCCTTAGTGTAGTCCCTATATAGGTACTTCGGGGCCAAAGTATATACTATTTAAATTTGGGTACATGGATCCTTAGGGTAAGGGTTACTATAAGGGTTTAGGGTATAGGGGCCTAAAGAATTACCTATACTCTTTTGGGGGATTCCTTCTGATAATCATAGTATACTATGCCCCAAAACCCTCTTCTAATTATGAGGCCCATACTGTTTCGGGGATTCCCTTATATAAACAAAGTATACTATGCCCCAACACCCTATTCTAATTATGAAGGCCCCTACACTAGATCGCTCAACCCCAAACCGTAAGGGTTAGGGCCGGACAGGTTCCTAAAGCAGCCAGCTCCACAGTAGGGTTTAGGGTTTCTAAGGTTTCTGGGGTTTCTAGGCTTTCTAGGCTTTCTAGGGTTTGTAGGGTTTTAGGGTTTAGGGTTTCTAGGGTTTAGGGTTTCTAGGGTTTGGGGTTTAGGGTTTCCAGGGTATCTAGGGTTTCTAGGGTTTTGGGTTTATAGCTCAGCTAGCATAGGAGACGGACAGTAGGGTTTTGGGGCATTTTGTCAGTAAAGCTATACAAGGAACGTTAGGGAATGGTAGTGCCAGATATTCACGCCCCTCTATTCGCCTAGTCCGTAGAGCCCATGGAGTCGATCCCAAGATCCCCTCTAAACCCTCAGGCCCTTAAGTATGCGATATAAACCTTCTGCAGAAGGAACTACATGCATATCGTCTGGGGCCCTTTGGATTGGTTTTGCAGGGTTTAGGGCTTAAGGTTTGGGGTTAGGGATTTACGCTTTAGGGCTCAGGGCCTGAAAATCGTTGCACATGAGCCTCCTCCGTGCCGGTCCTTCAGATATGGAAGCATTATCCGCTGTCACGACTGTATGGTTGCTGATCGTTTGTCATGGGCCCATGTAACCGGGAACCCTGAAAGCTAGACCCTGCACAAGCAAACCTGCACTTTCTGAGATGTAGTGCTTTGAGCTCTGCGATTCTTGTAGTTTTGCCGGCTCAGTCGTAAAGAAGGTCGAGCGGGTTGAGGTTTCCGAAATGCAGAGCACCCTCTCCTCGCCGTTGTGCAATCCGGGCAGCAGTGGGCATCCGTTCCTGTGCGCCCGGCCATGCGTCTACATGATGAAGAGAGGGTCGTGCCATGTGCAGGAGTGCAAATACTGCTAAACCCTAGACCCTAAACCCTAAACCCTAAACTCACAACCCTAAAACCCTAAACCCTGTGCAGGAGTGCAAATACTGCCACATGAACCACGATCTGCCAGTGACGAAGCTCAACCAAAGGCAGCGGTACGTCCTGCAGCGGCTCGCCATGAAGGACAAGATGGACTTGCTACTCGCAGCTCTTCGTGCAGGCTTGCATCGTGACGGTCTCACCGATCAGGCTGGTAGTTTGCTCTATCAGCTGGAAGTAGAAGCTTCGATGCATCCAGCCCCCGAGGGCCCACGGACGCATAAGAGGCAGATGCACGACTTGCGCAAGGCTCTCATGCGCATGACCCTAAACGATAACATCAAGGCCTTCGAAGATGCTCTTCCAGAGCAGGTTCTTCAGTCCTTCCAGGACTTGCGGCAAACGTTTTCAAGATCATGTGATGTCTCGGTTCCGATGTCTTCAAAACCGGAGCAATCCTTGAAGGAAGCTCTTGCTTTGTTTCCGATCCATGCTCCAGTGCAAATATGGCACCTCTGATTGAGAGGGCCAAGATTCTTGAAATTTCCCATGCCTCACTGGTCATTCAGGCCCCTGTCCCTAGACTTCTATCTGGCCCTCGGGATGTTAGCCCTAAGCCCCAAGCCCTGAACCGATAATTAGCTCTAGATCTAGGGATGCTAAGGCAAGGGTGCGGGATGTTGTTTGCCATGGCCTGCACGGTCTCCCCTAACTTCCGACCGTCGACCACGTGATGGCTACGAGTGCGCTTAAATTTTGCGGACGGCTCGAGGTGCCTGACCTCAAGTGACCATCCCCTGCACGGTTTCCTGCACCTTCACCCACTCGACCGGCTTTAGGGTTTTCTGGTTTCCATGTTGGTGATGGTTTAGGGTTTAGGGTTTAGGGTTTAGGGTTTAGGGTTTAGGGTTTAGGGTTTAGGGTTTAGGGTTTAGGGTTTAGGGATGGATCAACTTCCGGTGAAACCCATCTGGTCCAGAGTCGGGAGCGGGATAATGAGCTGCTCTGACAGGCTAAGTCGGTGAAAATCCGATTATGCTCCTGTCCGAGCGGCTAGGCAGCGGGTGGCACTTGTGGCTAGCAGCCTGTGCCTGGCTCTGTTCCTTGCGACTTCCGACTTTCTTCCTTCAATTGCCCCTCCACGTCATGTCTGCAGATACGGGTTCAGATTTTAGGGTTTAATTAGGGTTAGTCATAGTGTTCAAGGCGTCTACAGCCAGTTCAGAGCAGTCATGACGGGACCAGAGGCAAGTCAATCCGATGTATTAAAAATGCTGCAGGATAGCACGGCTTTTTGCTTGCGCACGGAAGAAAATCCCTGCGATGCAGTTGAATCAGAGTCGTTATGCAGTTGAGGGTTCCGCCCAGCTTGTGTCCTGGCGCTTTCATCGGACAGCTTTATTTCAGGAAACTGGGTTGTGTACGGGCTGTATCATGTGTCCATGGTTTTGAAAGGTTAAGCTTCTCGGTTCGGATGTGTATGATTTCAGGCCACAGACCGCTCGTGATTCAGTAGTTTATCTTGTGCATTGCATCACTCTATAAGTACGAAATGACCCTTAAAAGTAGGCGTCCTATACCCTTATACTATGAATCCCTATATGGTATATGAACCCTAAACCCTTTTAGGCTCATTTCGTCATTAATTAAGGCAACCTCAATGTCGATCCTGCGACATCCCCAAACCCTAAGGCCTGCGTATTCCGAAGTAGTACACCTTGGCTGGGTCTCGCCGGCCTCGCGTCTGTTTGCTTTGCTGTTGAGACTCCTTCGAAGAAGGATCCTGTAGTAAGGATCGGATTAATGCTCTAAGCTCTACGATGGGATCCTTCCTAAGTAGTTCCAGCAGAAGGGGCCACCGCTCAACTCGGAATCGTATTGTCTTTATAAGCCTAGAGGAGAGAGGGAGAGAGGTCGGCATCTGTAGGCTCAGGTTTTTGCAAGTGTAGGTTCGGGATTTAGGATGTAGAGAGGGTTTAGGGTTTAGGGTTTAGGGTTTAGGGTTTAGGGTTCGGGATTTAGGATCTAGAGTTCAGGGTTTCAGTGTTTGGGGATGGATTCTTCGAACTTAAGGCCTCAGCAAGTTCGTTGGGTTCAGAGGCTTTGGGGTTACTTCACACAACATCCCGCATGCCTCTGTAGGGTTGGAGTTTAGGGTTTAGGGTAGTCAATAACCATGTGAAACGAGGGTGTCCAAATATCTAGCCCATGGGCTCCATCTCACCATCTTAGGGTTTCGGGTTTTGGGTTTAGCTAATATGTCACCCTGTAAGCCGTATTCGGCAACTGGAGCCCTATCTTCACAGCCCAAGGCATCAACGAAAAAGCTCGCGGCAATGGCAGCGGCTTTGTTCACAGACGCTCGGCAAGGGTTTAGGGTGTAGGGTTTAGGCTTAAGGGTTCTTCGTTCAGTTTGCTTCTGTCGGGACTGCCTATCGTCTCCATTGTAGTTCCTTTTGGGGGATACCTTATAAAATCCGTAATATATAATTGGTTAAACCAAAAAAAGGAACTACAATGGAGACTATAGGTGTACCTTCATGAATCATCCCGGAAGAGATATAGCTCGGGATGCAGTCCACACCCTCACCCGTACGTTATACCTTTAACCCTGAACCCCAAAGCCCCCAAACCCGAAACCCAAAGCCCCTAAACTCTAGAATCTAGAAGCCCTAAAGGATACGCCGTAAAGCCACGGCTTCCGGTCTAAGGCAGACTGCCATGGAAAGTTACACACACCTTTCGCTACCGCCGGACCTGCTAAACTCTCGTCCTCCAAGCCTTCGCAATATTATAGGGTCAGGGTTTACAAGATTCGGGGCCTTCGGGGGATGTAGGGTCAGGGTTCGGGTTTATAATAAGATCAGATTCAGGGCCTTCGGGATTTAGGGGTTCAGGGTTTAGGGATAAGGTGTATAGGGTTAGTAGCTGCAGGATGCCCGGGGGCACCCTGGTATACTTGTACAAAGCCGGTGTGTGAGTCTCGCTAACGGTTTAGGGTTCACGGTATCGCCTTTCTACTTATCTACTTATCTACTTATTTACCTGTCCGCATGCCTACCCTGTCCACCTTTCTACCGATGTACCTGTGCCCCCACCCCACCCACCTACCCCCCATGCACCCACCCGCCCGCCCGCCTGCACACCCACCCAACCCCCTAAACCCTAAACCCTAAACCCCCCTAAACCCTAAAACCTATACCCTGCCCCCCTCTTTCTGGTTATTCCGGACACCCCGAATCCCTAAACCCTAAACCCTAAACCCTAAACCCTAAACCCTAAATCGAGCTGCAGGTCCGCCTTTTCGCTTCCACCATGTACTTCTAGGCGCGCGCGGCGCGGTGTTTTGGGTCAAGGGGCCTCGGGGTTGCGGAGTTGCAATTTTTTCCTTTAAAGGGATCCTTTAGGGTTTAGGGTTTAGGGTTTAGGGTTTAGGGTTTAGGGCCTTCCTTTAAAGGGATCCTTAAAGGGCTCTATAAGGGCTACTATAAGGGTTTAGGGCTTGATGGGGCCTTAATCATTAGAATAGGGTCTTCTTCACCAATCCCAAGGGTCCCTTTGCAGCCTTTACAAGTTGAGGAGGGTTTAGGGTTTAGGCGGTTTAGGGTTAAGTTTAGGGGTGAGGTAGAGTATCTCTAGCCTTGTAGGAGGCTCTCCTGACCCTAAACCCCCAAATGCGTCCACATGACCAGTCGCAAGACCATACTTTGTACCCTGGACCCCCTCTCCCCGCTTGAGGCATGGGATTGTCGGGCGCGAGTGTTGGATGTTCCAGGTTCGTGGAGTACTGAGAAGTTTAAGCTTAAGCCAACCCTGAGACCTAAACCCTACTTGGAGGGTCGGGGGACTTAGTAAGTGGTTATATAGACTTATAAGTACTATAACCCCAATTAGGGTCCCTTTTAGGGTACTTATAAGTCTACTTATTGCCTACTTACTAAGTCTCCCGCCCCTCCAAGTAAACCCTAAACCCTTAACCAAGCATTGGGGTTTCAGTATCCGGATTTCGGGTTTCTGGCTGCAGGTCTCGTAAGGAAGACTGAGTGACTCAGGGTAAGGGCCTCCGCCAAAGACAAGGCTACTTGTACCTTAAGGACGAAATGAATCCTAAAAGGGTTTAAGGTTCATATACCATATAGGGGTTCATAGTATAAGGGTATAGGGCCCCTACTTTTAAGGGTCATTACGTCTTTAAGGTACCATCAACACCAGCGCCGTCATCTAAACCGTTGTATGTGTTGCAACCATGGCTTTCCTGGGGATGCTTACAGCGATCGCAGCTGCTGATTGTGAGCATAGTTCTGCTCGTCGCGGCGTCTCTGCAACTGCCAGGTCCTGCGTTTATACTAGGGTTTAGGGTTTAGGGTTGGGTTTAGGGTTTAGGGTTTAGGGTTCAGGGTTTGGGGTTTAGGGTTTAGGGTTTAGGGTTTAGGGTTTAGGGTTTAAGGTTAGGGTTGCCACAGATGCCACATGCTTAGATGTACCATGTTGGCATCGCGCAGTGCTTCTGTCCACATGTACTCGCTGCGATTATCTGTATACGGTCACATGCCGGATTTACTGCAAAAGCAGACTAAGGGCCACTGGGCCCTCATGTCAAGTTGTGGTTATCGTCTTTATCCTTCGTTGCCCACTTTTCGGCATGCCCACTCCGTACATTATCGAATGCGGCCTACTCCGTAAATTTCACCCTCAACAGTAAACACCAAACCTTCATCTTGTGGCTGAGCGGTTTCTGATGGTAGCCCTAAACCCTAAACCCTAAACCCTAAACCGTAGGGTTTAGGTCTCGGCATGAGGTTCTGCACTTACAGGCTCTGGAGAGTCGAGAATTTTGGATGAGCATGGCTCAAAGAACGAATTCAAAGCCCTGATCAGTAACCCTAAGGGTCCAAGTAGTCCTTATTTATGATTTTAAGTACCCAAAAAGGCCCCAAAGTCCTTAAATAATGAGTACTTGGACCCTTAGGGTAAACTATTCTGCTGTAAACCAGAATTTTCCTGGGCATCCTAGTATTAAGACATCTCAAGACCCTTGGAGAATAGAAATCAGGGAGCTACATGAACAGCGAGCGGAACAACTCGCGCACGAAGCTGAACACACACCAAACAGGTTTTGGGGCGTTGACAGAAATCCCTTGTGGTAGTCCTTACCCTAAGGGTCCAAGTACCTAATAATCATATACTCTTCTGAACACTAACCTACAAAACTACTATCCGTAAACCAAGTACATGATTATTAGGTCCTTGGACCCTTAGGGTTATAGAACTTAAACCCTAAACCCTAAACCCTAAACCCCAAACCCTAAACCCCAAACCCTAAACCCTAAACCCCAAACCCAAAGCCCTAAACCCTAAACCCTAAAGTAGCCCACGAGCTCCGGTTCGAGTTTTTGCAAACTCAGCGCCTGAAAAACCCGCAACTCGCAAGTCCTCCAGACATGCAGGCGACATGTACCTAGAGCTGATACCGGACGCGCCCTGGACTGGAGTTTAGGGTTTAGGGTTTAGGGTTTAGG